TACTGTTCTAAAATGATGGATAAATTTGTTTTCTCCCCCTATTTAGAAGCCTTTGAGAGGGAACTGACACCGATTCTAACCACTCTAACAGCTATCAAAATACCTGAAAGTAAATCCTGAATCCATTTCTCTGGAGTCCAGCCTTGGCAGACAAAAGAAAAATGAGGAGGAACCCAATAGAGGGATGCTTTTGGAAGCCCTTGTCAAGAAATTCCAATGGACTCTCACATGAAAATTTGAAAATTGCCCTGTTCTGACATTTTTCTAGTTCCCTGTCTAGAACTTGTAATGCTAATTACTCTTGCCTTTACTTCTCCTTCACATCTCCTATTCAAGATTCAAGGACTTTCTTTTCCCCTGAGAGATAAGAGTTATGCAATTTGGGAGTCTTTTAGATAGACCCACTGAAGGGGTAACCCCAATTGCCTCACCTTGCGTCCCTGTTCAGCATGGAAGAAGCCAGAGCAGTCTGAATCCCCCTATTGGCAATTTGGGTAACCTCTTCAGAGGATGGTGTGAAAAGAATAGAAGGTAGGAACTGACTAGGCAGTTAGGGTAAAAAGACCCCAAAGAAAAGTAGCCAGTTTCTTGGCTAAAAGTCAAACTGTCTTTGGGCCTTTTAGCAATATACTCCGTTCCAAAGGCCAAAAATGTTGAAAGTATTTGGGAGTTTGTATTTAATCCTTAAAAGATTTTAGGGTTAAAAAAAAAAAGATTTTAGGGTTACCTCTTCAGAGGGGGGAATGTTAAAGTAGCCAAAAGCCCCATAAAAATAAATCAAAGAAGAAAGAGTATATGAAGTTATCAGAAAAAAGTGTTGGGGAGATATGGGAGAAGTTCGAGGGGAGGGAGTGGGCATGGATTTGATCAAAACATCTTATATGCATGTAAGAAATTCTCAATAAATTATTTAAAAACAAAACAAAAACTATTGAAAGATAATATATTTGGGTCTAATAAATATTTCTTCAGTTATTGATATGGAAAGACTCTCTGAGGGTTGTATACAGCTCATTGGTAGAATGCTTGCCTAGCATGCAGGAAGCCTTTGGTTCAATCTCCAGTAGCACATAAACCAAGTGTGGTGACATACATCTTGATCCCAACACTCAAGTGGTAGAGGCAGGAAGATCAGAAGTTCAAAGTCATCAGTGGCTACTACATAGTGAGCTCAAGGCCAGCACAAGACCCTGTCACAAACAACAACAAACTTTGTTGCACTATCAACTGATAGCTGTTCTTTTAATACGTTTGAGAACAATGTAGAAGGACAATATGTATCTATAAATAAAAACATTAAGGACATTTCATGTACTGTAGGCCAACAATTTAGAGGGAATATGCTCCAAAAAATAAAGACCAAAAAATAAATAAATAAATAAATTTTAAAAAAGCAGAAGGTGGGATGGAGAGGTGGAAAGCTGGCTCAGTGCTTAAGAGTGCTGGCTGCTCTTGTAGAGGACCCAAGTTTGATACCCAGCACCCATAGGGTGGCTAACAACCATCCAGGTAACTCCAGTTCCAGGGGATCCAATACCTTCTTCTGACCTCCGCAGAATTAGAACAACACACAACACGGGTGCACTTACACACAATGCAGGCAATACAATCATGCACATAAAATCTGAAATAATAAATTTTAAAAAAGAATTTTTTTTTTGGTCTTTTTTTGGTCTCCCTGTAGCCCCAGCTGACTTGGAACTTGCTATGTAGACCAAGCTGGCCTTGAATTCACAGAGATCCTCTTGCCTCTGCCTCCTAAGTGCTGGGATTAAAGGCGTGTGCCACCACACCAGACTAAAATATTTTTTTAGAAAGCAGAAGGTTGCTGGGCATGGTGGCGCACGCCTTTAATCCCAGCATTTAGGAGGCAGAAGCAGGCAGATCTTTGTGAGTTGGAGGTCAACCTGGTCTACATAGTGAGTTCTAGGACAGCTGGGGCTACGAGGAGACCCTGTCTCAAAAAAAAAAAAAAGCAGGTTAAAAAAACTTACAATGGGCAATCATTAAAATGTATATACAGAATTCAAAGATCACAGAGTTCTTTTCTACAAACTCAACTCAGACCCTAAAACAAATTGTTTCAAATGTTAAGATTTCCAGGCTGGGCTGGAGAGATGGCTCAGGGGTTAAGAGCACTGACAGCTCTTGCAGAGGACCCAGGTTCAATTCCTTGGCGGCTATGAACCGTCCTTAACTCCAGTTCCAGGGAAATCCAAAGCCCTCTTCTGACCTCCATGGCATTGGACGACATGGGTGCAGTCACATACATGCTGGCAATACACTCATACACATAAAAAAATAAAATAAAATAAAGAAAATACTTTAAAAAAAAAGATTTCCAGGCTGTAGAATTTCCCACACAAGCAGCCCAGAGTCCCCTGAGAAGCTGTCCAACTACCTTAAAGTCTGCCCTCCTCTGGTACTCCTAGACTTGTATAACAAACAAGAGAACCCTTGCAGCGGGCTCTCCACCAGAGGGTCTTACTGCTGTGGATTTTCTCAGCTTTACTATTAATTCAATTTTCAAGATCTAGAGGCTTTTCTTTAATGTTAATTTCGGCTTCTTGTTTTGCCTAACAACTGAGATAACAGAGACCTAAAATCACATCACATCACATGGCAAACAAAACAAGGACAATTAAGCCAAGCGCCTATAAGCTGAAGACTGCCACTGTCACAAATATGACCATTGACTGACCTTTGTATTCAGGGGTGAATTCTTTCATTTCAGGAGGGAGAGACTCGTAGAAGCGCTGTTCCCGGGAGATGAGAGGCTTGCACACAGTGTGGTCGTCATACCGCATCATGCTGCTGTGTCCGCCCACCTGGTGAATGAAGGGCTCCAGGAGGACTCCCCGGTCTCCAGCCCGACTTGCGTTCTTGCCATACTGCCCCACTTCCATGGTTTGACAAACACACATTGCGTTGGGGGCCGGTTGCACACTGACGGCAGAGGATGCAGTACATGGACCACAAAAGGAGAGCTAGGTAGAGCTGGTGAGTGGAAGGCCAATGGTCAAAGTCTACTCAGCTTACTGTTCTGTCCTAAAGAAAAAAAGACAGGAACAGGGAATCAAAGCATCTGGCAAGTTAGTTCCTTGCCATGTGGATCCCTAGCATGCACAACACCTGGCGTACAGGAGTCGGCTGCTAAATCTTTGGTGAATGGTGCAGCCCTGCTTTCCATCTATCATCCATCATTCTATGTACAGAAGATCACCTTCTCCTTTCCTAGTGCTCCAATCTCTTCTACATTCTCAGACAATTTGATTTTAGAGCTATAGTATGTCACAACCATTAAGAAGGCAACTAACCCAGTTGGGTAACCTTCAAAGATAAAGGGATCAGAAAAACAGTAACAGAAACATGGTCTCTTCAGGGTCTCTTCCTGGCTCTAAGGAAGAGTTTATTTGGTTTCTGTTTGCTTGCATTTTAACCATTTTAAAGTGTCCAGTACAGTGGAATTAAGTATATTCATTACAGTTATATAATACCATCAACCAACCATCTTCAGAACATGAGCTTTCAGTATCCAAACTGAAATTCTGTACCAATCTTTAAACATTTTTTTCTGAGACACAGTCTCCCTGAGTAGCCCAGGCTGGCCCTAAACTCACCATCCTCCTTCACGCTGCTTTCCCAAATTCTCTGCTGAAAGTGCCAACAACCAGACATGAAAAGCCATGTAGGTTGTAAAACCATTAAAAAGTTTGTTTTTCCCAGAGGAATTCAGAGTTCTATTTTAAATCTATGAGTGTTCATTTACAACCATGTCTAGAGCTCTACAGAGCTTCCCTTTCCATCTGATACTGTAGCAACCACTGGGACAGGTAAAAAAGTTCTTTGTACTCAAATACCCATCCTATAATGTCAATTTTTCTTTCCCTTAAGAAAATAAAAGTATTTGCCAACTTCCTTAATACTGAATTTTTTAAAATCAGAAGTGTACTAGTCAAGACCATATCTGAAAGATTAAGGCTAAAGGGGTATTAAAGGGAAAAACATTGCCGGCACGGTGGCACACACATTTAATCCCAGCATAGACAGGTGGAGCTCTGTAAGATCGAGGCCAGTGTGGTCTACATAGCAAGTTCCAGGCCAGATGGGTCTACAAGGAGACACTGCCTCAAAAAAAAAAAAAAAGTTAACATCAGTAGTAGTAGTGTTTTTGTTAAGGTTCAGACAGCCCCGCCCCCTCACCAACAGGGCCTCACAAGTCCCAGAAAAGGGAACTGAGTTGACAAGCACCCTGGTCTTTGAAGTCAAGAGAAGCAGACTTTTCTCCACTGTTTGGCCAACACAGCAGGCATCTC